ACACCACCAAAGACACAAAGGCGCCATCCTCTAGAACCCTCGAGCCTGTGCTCACACCCAACCCCCTCTCCAGGTGTCCATCGGGCCTCTCGTAGATCTAGGCATGACTTAACAAACTCCAAATAAACCTAGCAAAAGGTTCCAACAATCAACCGCAATTGGACAATGCAAGAGAAGATGATCCACTGACTCGCCATTACACTTACACATGCAACACTAATTCACCGTGATAAGCTTTCTCCTTCTTAAATTATCCAATGTCAAAATTTTATTATTCCCAGGATGTTCCTTATTATTTCCAGGAAGGCAGTCCTTTGGAGGACTTTATTCTTCAAGAGTCTGTTCTTCCAACTCCAGTTTTTGATTCTGTCATCCCACCAACTCTTTTTGTCTATGCTCGTCGCCGGAAAAGAGTAGTTAATCATATTCTAATGACTGAAGTAGTAAACCCTGCCTTGCAACTTCCACTAGTCGCTTTAACGCTTGCAGATTCTTTCATCTCTCCTGACTCTGATCTTCATCAACCTATTGCTGTTCCGAAAGGTAAACGGTCTTGTACCAATCACCCTATCTCCAATTTTGTATCATATAATAAATTATCCTTCTCCTCTAAAACTTTTTCTTTGTCATTATCCTTTATTGCTCTTCTTAAGTCTTACAGGGAGGCACTTTCTCATCCATGGTGGAGGAAAGCTATGGAAGAAGAAATAAACTTTTTCAAATTGAATCATACTTAGTTACTTGTTCCTAAGCCTGCTGATAGTCAGCTCGTTGGTTGTCGTTGGGTTTTTATTGTTAAACAGAAGCCTAATGGTACTGTTGACCGTCTCAATGCTTGACTTGTTGCTAAAAGCTATACTTAGACTTATGGCCTTGATTATACTGAGACGTTTTCTCCTGTGGCCAAACTGAATTCTGTTCATGTGATAATCTCTCTTGCAACTAATCTTGACTGGCCACTTCATCAACTTGATATTAAAAATGCCTTTCTGCACAGTGACCTTACTGAGACAGTCTATATGACTCAACCACCTAGGTTTTAGTATAAGGGGGAGTGTGTGTCTCATCGCTAGATGTCTATCTATAGCCTCAAACAGTCCCCTCGTGCATGGTTTGATAAGTTCAGTAAAGCAGTGGTAGCTCATGGTATGACCAGAAGCCATGCTGAACACACTTTTTTTTTTTAAGAAAACGAAACGTGGTATTGTGATTCTTGTGGTGTATGTAGATGATATCGTTATCACCGGCAGTGACAAAGATGGGATACAAGTTTTAATCCATCACTTGAGTTCTAGCTTCCTTACTAAGGATTTGGGCAAACTTTGGTATTTTTTAGGAATTGAGGTGTCTCGGTCGAAGCAAGGCATTAGTCTTTCTCAGAGGAAGTATACTCTTGATCTCTTACAGGATACTAGATGTCTTGGTTCGAAACCTGTAGCTACTCCCATAGAGACTAATGTAAAACTTAAAGTAGATGATGGTGACCCACTTCATGATCTAGAAATGTATCGGAGACTTGTAGGTAAACTTATTGACCTCACAATCACTAGTCCAAACATCTCCTATGCAGTCAGTGTTGTGAGCTAGTTCATGACTAGACCTCGGGTACCTCACATGGAGGCAGTTGTACGCAACTTGAAGTATCTCAAGGGTGCTCTGGGACGTGGTCTGCTTTATCGATCTTCTGGACATCTTCGGATTGAGGGATACACAGATGCAGGTTGGGCGGTTCTCCTTCTGATTGACGGTCCACCACTGGTTACTGCACCTTCATTGGAGGAAATCTAGTAACTTGCAGGAGTAAGAAACAGTCAGTTGTGGCTCGTTCTAGTGCTGAAGCAAAGTATCGTGCCATGGCACACACTGCCTGTGAACTTACTTGGTAGAAAACTCTTTTACAAGAACTTGGGATTTCAGCCCAGTACTCAATTCCTCTCGATTGTGACAATCAGACATCTATTCATATTACTAGCAATCCAGTCTACCATGAGAGGACCAAACACATTGAAGTAGATTGCCATTTTATTCGATCTAAAGTTGACTCGAATGAGATTGTTACACCTTTTGTTCCTTCTGGTAGACAGTTGGCAGACATCTTCACTAAGGCGCTTCACAAGAACTCTATTGATTCCATATGTAGCAAGCTAGGAGTTATTGACATTTACTATTTAGCTTGAGTTGTCACGTTGTACAGTATTGTATGAGTTGTCACATTGTACAGTATTGTATGAGTTGTCACACGTCTACAGTTAGTATTGTATGAGTTGTCACCTATCCCTCATTACCATATATAGAATTACCATGTATAGGGTTTACTTGTTCTCCACTCACCTACTCCCGTAGCTCCTCCTATATAAATATCATTGTATTATTGTATTACTCACTCAATAAGATATACGTTTTCATATATTCTCTCTCTGGCAGCAAGTACTTAATCGTCACATTGAGTGAGATCAAGATCCACGTATTAAGGTGGAAATTCCAACTTTTACTAGGGAAGAGCGGCCATAGGAAGTTTTGGACTGGTTAAATGAAGTCAAAAGGATTTTTGAGCACCATGATCTTCCTGATAATAAGAAGAAGGTGAAATTGGTAGCTATTAAGATGAAGGGATATGCATCATCTTGGTGGCAGCAAGTTCAATTAACCAATTCAACTAAAAAAAATAAAAATAAAAAGTTTAATTAACCAGAATTCAATTAGGAAAGGAGCCTGTTCAAACCTGGACAAAATGCAAAGAATGATCCGGAGCCAATTCCTTTCCTTCCATTAAACTATGAAGGAATTCTATTTCAACGTTACCAGCCCCTTTATCAAGGAGCTCGCTAAGTTTGGGAACACACAAATGAGTTCTATTAGATGAGAACTCGAGTACGGTTGGCTGAGACAGAAATATAGGTCATCCATCGTTATTTGATGGGATTAAGGCCAGGTATAAGAAACCATGTGGAGTTACAGCTTTGTTGGACCTTAGCAAGTGTTGTCCAATTGGCAACAAAATCAGTCCTAAGTTATAGTATAATTTGAGATATTATCAAATTTTAAACAAATTTTCAGGCCTTTTTCTAGATTTCCCTTTTTTGGAGGCATGGGAGTGGAGTTTCACTACCATCTAGTACTTTGGGAGAAGGTAGGCCTTTTCAGCTTGGAGGGTGGTGCCTTTCAATATGGCTCTCCATGGCTAGTGGCTGTGGAGATTTGAGGATGAGCACCACAGATTATGGAGGAATTTCGTGCGGCTTTGGGAGGAAAAAGGCGGTTGTGCTCTCATGCAGTTAGTTCAGTAGGAGGTGTTGGTGTTTGGAAATTCATCCAGAAGGGTTGGAACGAATTTTCTAAACACATTAGATTTAGGGTTCGAGATGGCAGGAGTACCCGTTTTTGGGAGGATCTTTGTTGTGGACACCGTTCTTTGGCTTGTTCTTTTCCCAGGCTTTTTAGGATCGCTGCTGATAGACAAGCCTTAGTTGCCGACTGTTATCATCTTGATAATGGGAGGATTACTTGGAATGTGCGTTTTGTGCGTCATTTTCAGGAATTGGATGTTGTCTCTGCTTTTATGGAGCTTTTATATAGGCAGGAGTTGGATGGTAGAGGGTCGGATTCTCTCATTTGGGTGCCTTCTCCCCAGGGAAGATTTGATGTCGCTCTCTGTTTTGTTGTCTTTCTGGATTTTCAGGGGTCGATTTTCCCTAGAAGGTGGTTTGGCGCTTGAAGGCCCGTCTCAAAGTGGCCTTTTTTTACTGTTTAATTGGTGCTGCATGTGTAAAAGGGATTGGGAGTCATCACCATCTTTTGCATTGCCTTGTGGCTCACGACTGTTGGTGCCTTATTTTTGGCTTGTTTGGTGTTCAGAGGGTTATGCCTAGGTCTACGAGAGGATTGATCGATGCTTGGAGAGGATGCCTTGTGGGGCCCCTTGCCCGTGATTTCTGAAGGGCGGCACCCTTTTCTGTTTGGTGGTGCATTCGGAAGAAGTGGAATAGAACATGATTTGTAGGAGTGGAATCTTCCTTTGGGGCCGTAAAATTTTTTATTGTTAGCTCTCTTTTTTGTTGGTTGTGGGGAGAAATTGTAAATCTAAAGAGGAGATTGTTGATTTTTTGTTAGTTCCTTGAGCTCTTAGTCCTTTTGGCTTCGGCCTTTGTGTAGTTTTTGGGATGCGTTCCCCTTTTGAATGCTTTCTTATACATTTTTACTTTAAAAACCAAAAAAAAAAAAAAAAAAAAAAAAAAAAATGGCTTTTTTATTTGTTTGCTTGTCTGTTTCAAACTAAAGCTAACAGGAATATATGGTTAACCCATGCTTGAATTGATCTGCAACATTATGCTGCTGAGGTTAGAAGCACCTCCCCCACCTTTTGGTCAAGCTTGAGTACTGTCCTTGGTTTTTTAATCCGAGCCTCACCACTTGGGATACCATGTTTGATTCAGTTCATTTGCACCTCTAGCGTTATAATGCCCATTATAGTTCTTTCTTTTACAGTTCTATCTGAAACAGATGCCTGTACAAAAGAGTTGGAAGCGTTCCCCCCCAAATGATCTGCCAATTTGAGTTTTACATCTAGGTTCAGCAGGTAGATCTGTATGTTTCATGTGGAGTCAGCTACCAAAGAAATGTTTTCTCTGAATAATTGTTAAGTGTTCGAGAATATGATTATAGGAGTGATTAAAGCCCCTAAATCACTCGACAGAATATTGATATGAGTGAACCATGGGAGTGATTTTAGGGATCTTTCCTATATCATATTTATCACATGTTTGTATTCTTTCACCTATAAAGGTGATCATTGTATACAAAAATTAAGAGAGATTATAATAAAAGTGATGGAGCCTTTTGGGCTTTGTGTTCCGTGGATGTACGTTGTAGTGGCCAAACCATGTTATAACCTAGTTTTCTTTGTCTGTGTGTTCTTCATGCTTAATTTTTCTCTTCAATTATCTTTCAACATTAAGGAACACGGATTTTCTTTCCTGACTTTGGTAATTCTACCCATGCAGGTATCCTTACTAGAAGAACAGATAAAACCTAGGACGGACCTTCCACCTCTGCTTGTACATCCTCGTGAACGACGGTCTGAAAAGCTCCATTATATTGGTGTCTCTTTTGGGCTTACCCTTGACCTTTTTCGCTTTTGGAGAAGACAAAAGTTTGCTCCCTTCTACATTGGCCAGCTTCCAGTTAAGATCATTATTTTATTTATTTATTTTACAATGTTCTTGGTGCATTAATTTGCATTGAAACGTATTGGTAACCACCATCTGCTCTAAAAGATTAAGCTATTAGAGAGGGTGTAACTTAATATTTAAATCCTTTAACATGCCCCCTCACGTGTGGCCTTCTTTTGGTCCAACACGTGTTTCAATTTTAATTATCAGGGTGACTGTAAGGTTTGAACACAGACCTTGCCTGCTCTGATACCATGCTAAGGACCATCTATTCTAAAAGCATAAGCTATTAGAGAGGGTGTAACTTTAATATTTAAATCCTTTAACATGTATATTCATGGATCAGAGTACTGTGACCGGGGAGCATACCTGTATGGTCCTAAAACCATTAAACACTGATGATATTGAAGCTAGTGGATCGGATGAATGGGGTTTCTTCAGTCCCTATTACAAAGGTGGGTCCATTGTTTTAAGTTCAATGTTTTACTGCATTTTTTTGTTTCCAGATATCTCTAGTTCATAGATTGATATTCAGTAGTCCATCTTCAGACTTCAAACAAAAGTTTATAGGACTATTGGATAGAGGCTTCCGCAAGATGGAATCCAAGCTTGCTATAAGGTTAGAATTTTAAATTTCAGCTTCTTTTAGTAATGTTCTTATTCTTCAGAATATTCATGCTATCCATAATCTTTTAGCGTCTTGGATCCGAAGATCAACTTCATGGAGCATGAGTCTGCATCATTCGCCTCAAATGAATTTTTGAAGTCACTTGATGGGATCTTATCACCATATGATATGGAGCGACTGGAATTATACACAAACAATCTTGCCGATTATCGTTCGGTAAGGTCTCCATGCGATAGTTAGAATAGCTTCTGTTATGTATTTATTTTGATCTTTTCTATTATGGATATGAAATAGAAATGACATTTTGCAAGTTTATAGTACCTAGTAAATGTTGTTGCACAAAATATAGTTTAAAAATGGCCTCAAGTCTACAAAGCCAAGGTCCTGAACTTAACTATTTGGGTTTGGCTACGGATGTTTGGCACTAGCTGACTTGTCGGTCCCCTATCATCTCCCCTCATTTTATTTATTTATTTGTACTTGAGCAAACAGAAGAGGTAAAAAAATTGCGTGGAGAGATCTCATGAGGTGTCCAGCAGGCCATGAAATGGAGTGGGTTTGACCCAATATTTGATTGTATCCAAGGTCTTTTTTTTTCTGGATTTTGATCTAAATTTTAAATGTTGATTTTATTACCTGAACCAGGCATGGGTGGATCTCATTCAGATCATTAATATCAACACCTGTTTTAAAGTCGAACGATACCCTTAATAAAATAGCAATTTTTATGGTGTATTTGGGAAACTTATAGTTAGATCTCCTCGTAAATTAATGTGACTTTCCAAAACCAAATAATCTATCTTCAGGCAACTCAAGAGTTTGCTTCCAGATTTCTAGGGAACAAAGAGAATTCAGATTGAATATGGTGCTTGTGTGTGTGTGTTTGAGAGAGAATAGTGGTTGGGTGAGTGGAAGAACTAGAGAAAGATATGTTCCAATTTCTAGAGAGAAAGAGAGAGAAGACCAGAGGGTATATAGGGATTTTTCTCATACAGACATTGGGAAATGGAAGAGAGAGGTAAGATGGAGAATGTAGAAGAATAAAGTTTTGGGGCACTCAACAATGATGACTCTGAAAGTCTTCCATGGCAATTTTATTTTTTGATAAGTAAAGAAATATTAGAAAGCGTTCAAAAGGGGAACGCATCCCAAAAGCTATACAGGGGCCAAAGCTAAGAAAGAGGTCTTAAGGACCCAAAGAACCCAAAAAAGCAACGATTCCTTCTATAGATATACAATTTCTCCCCATCACCCAACTAAAAAGAGAACAAATAATAAAATATTCCAAGGCCGCAATGGAAGATTCTTTTCCTTCAAAATATTCCAGTGCTGCATCCTCCCCACACATCAATCAATTCCCTCGCAGATCAAGGTATGACCAATTGGACGCCGAACAAACCAAAAATAAGGCTCCAATAGTCGTGAGCCACGGGGCAATGCAGAAAAAGGTGATCCATGGACTCTCCATCATCTTTACGCAAACAACACCAATTAAAAGTAATATGTCTTCTCTTTCTAAGATTGTCTATGGTCAATATCTTCCCCTAAACTGCCGTCCACACAAAAAAATGCCACTCTGAGAGCATTCTTAGATCGCCACACCATCTTCCACGGGAAGATAGAACCAAGTCCTGGAGAGACAGAGGAATAGAGAATGGACCTCGAACCTCCCCTGAGGAGAGGGCACCCAAAATAAGGAATCAGAGCCTCTACCACCACCTTCTGCCTATACAAGAGATCTAGCAAGCTTGAAACATCGTCCACCTTTCAGTCCTGAAACGATTGCCGAAAATGCAGGTCCCACGAAAACCTACCGCTATCAAGCCGATAACAGTTGGCCACCAGGGCATGTCTATCGACAACAATCCTAGAAAGTTTGGGAAACAAACAAGACAACGGGTGATCCCCGTACCATAAATCCTCCCAGAACTGAATGTCCCTGCCCTCCGAACTCTGAATCTATTGTGCTTAGAAAAGTCATCACAACCCTTCCGAATAGATTTTCACACTCCAACACCAACAGCAAATGTAACCGGGCGAGAGGGCCACCCTTCTGTCTCCTCCCCAAAGTGACAAGCGATCACCCTCCTCCACATGCGATGTCATTCGTAACCACGTGCTCTAATTGATGTAGAATAGCTCGCTCACAAGTATTTGAGCATACATGATCATCGCAAATTAGGGAGGCTGAAAAGGTAAGGAGAATAGAAGAAAAAATAAATAAATAAGGAAAAGTCAAAAGGAAGATTGACAACATCGTGATTGGTGTAGTTGCCAACAATAGATAGCTTGATTGAAGATTGCAAGATCTAAGGAGGATTGTGCTCCATCAAATCTCAGCAAATATCCTTTTTTGAATTTCCCCATTAGTATTATTTCACGGATGCTTTATTTTATTTTTATGTTTGACTTGCCTATATAAAGGCAGGAGATGTAAGTTTGCAAGCAGACAATTATCAATATAATTTCAGTTTTCTCTCTTGTGAGTGTGTTCTTTGTGAATTCAAGGGTTTAACCCTGTTCTTTATCGTTTCCGCTTCGTCATTTGGTATCAGAGCAAGGTTCCGAATGCAAGATTCGCCTTTGTTTTGATGGCCGCTTCTCGATATGGAAGCAATCCCTCCAGCGACGGTGATCGGGATGGAGTAGCTCTTTTGTGGGCTAGGTTTACTGAGTTCCAGACCAACTTTAATCGAACCTTACAACGGGCGAGATTGGCGAGATTGACAACGGTAAAACCGTAGAACTTAACCGTGAGAACAACGGGCTACCCAACGATGCTGATCATGAACATCTTGCTGGTAATCACAACCCAAACCCACTGATTAGGCAACCGGCTATAAGGAAAATGTCCGTTTTGGTAACAACCGAGCCGTACAGGTATTTGGAGATAATCGAGGTCGATGGGAAATTGATAATTCCAACGATTCTTGTATGAAGATTGACCTACCCACTTTTCAAGGTCATCTTCGTATTGAAGAATTCTTGGATTGGATTAGTGAAGTTGAACGTTTCTTTGACTATATGAAAATCTAGGAGGAGAAGCAAGTCAAACTAGTGGCGTATAAAATTGAAGGGCAGCGCATCAGCATGGTGGGATCAAGTGCGAACTACCCGTGCACGCGACGATAAAGATCCAGTACGTACATGGGTCAAAAGGAGGAAGTTGATGAAAGTCCGATTTTTATCCCCTAATTACGAGCAAGTCCTTTATCAGAAATATCAGTCTTGCACGCAGGGAAGTAGAACCGTTGATGAACATGCTAAAAGAGTTCTATCGGTTGTCATCCCGTAACAACATGCTAGAACTTGAATTTAGCATGGTGGCCCGTTTTAAAAGCAGGCTACGGTGAGATATTGAAGGGAAAGTGGCGCTGTAACCGCTATTCAAACTGTCTGAGATTGTTACGGCGGCAGAGAGAGCATAATTGTTACTAGAGAAGTCGAAGAATCGGTCCCATGGTTCATATAATACCTGCGCACGCAAGGGTAAAGATCCGGTACGTACATGGGCCAAAATGAAGAAGTTGATGAAAGTCCAATTTTTATCCCCTGATTACGAGCAAGTCCTTTATCAGAAATATCAGTCTTGCACGCAGGGAAGTATTACGATTGCTGAATATGTTGAAGAGTTCTATCGGTTGCCATGCCGTAACAACATGGTAGAACTCAAATTTAGCATGGTGGCCCGTTTTAAAGGTAGGTTACGGTGGGATATTGAAGAGAAAGTGGCACTGTAATCGCTATTCAAACTGTCTGAGATTGTCATGGCAGCAGAGAGAGCATAATTGTTGCTAGAGAAGTAGAAGAATCGGTCCCATGTTTCATATAATACCCTACGTCCTACACATGACACGGGTAGAAATCAATTACAGACTGTAGTAACCCCTATTCCGACAACATGGTAAGGCATTGGAGATGGTTCATCAAAGGCCAAACCCGTAGCACCCACAAGACTTGCTGGAAGGGGAGCCCTTGCCATGAGAGAAAATCCCTATACACGCCCAAGTCTTGGGCAAGTGTTTAAGATATGGAGAATCTGGCCATAAATTCAACAATTGCCCTAAGCGATCGACAGTAAATTTGGTCGAGCATGGGAAATACGAGGGTGAGGAAGGTGAGTTCCTTACCTTTGAAGAAGAAGAGGTGATTGAAGGAGACAATGGCGAGTTGTTGTCCCACTCTTTAGTCGTGAGGAGGTTGATGTTCACGCCAAAGAAGGAGGAGCACAAGCAGCGTCATAATGTGTTCCGTACACGTTGCACTATTAACCATAAGGTATGTGACATTATTATTGATAGCGGCAGTTGTGAGAGCATTGTTTCCTTAACAATGGTTCGAAAATTTGGGCTTTAAACAGAGAAATATCTCCATCCATACAAAATTGGATGGATCAAGAAAGGCTCAAAAACGCGAGTAACTAAAACTCACACCGTTCCATTCTCAACTGGGAAAACATATGCAGAGGAGGTGCGTTGTGATATAGTCGACATGGATGCATGCGATATGATCTTGGGAAGACCATGGCAATTTGATGTCGATGCCACTCACTGTGGTATAGATAATGTGTACATGCTATACACGAAAGGTCATAAGATTGTTTTGGGTCCGTTGAAAGAAGTCGAATTTCCCAAAGGAAATTCAGTTATGTTGATCAATATCGAGGAATTTTTGGGCGAAGTAACAACCACCCCTGAAATCTTTGCTGTTATGTGCAAGGGGGAAGTGGTTGAACAACCTCCTTTTACAGTACCAGCAATAGTGCAGCCATTACTGCAGGAGTTTAGTGAGTTGGTGCTGGAAGACTTGCCTGATAGTCTCCCTCCCATGAGGGACATTCATCACCACATTGACTTGGTAACCGGGGCGAGCTTGCCAAATCTACCACATTACTGGATGAGTCCTAATGAGAATCAGATCTTATAAATAGCAAGTGGAAGAGTTACTACAAAAAGGGTTGATTCGGGAGAGCATGAGCCTATGTGCTGTTCCAGCCTTGCTACTGCCGAAGAAAGATGGCAGCTGGAGAATGTGTGTTGATAGTCGCGTAATTAACAGAATCATTGTCAAGTACATATTTCCCATTCCACAGTTGGATGGTATGCTGGATATGTTGGCGGGATCGAAAGTCTTCACCAAAGTGGACCTCAAGAGTGAATACCATCAAATCAGAATCCGCCCTGGGGATGAGTGGAAAATGGCGTTCAAGACAGAGG